AAGCCTCCGCCCACCACAGGTGGCCACGCCCCTCCGCCGGATGCTATCACATGGTAAGAAGAGCTCGCTTGTGAACCTGATTAAATATATTCCAGCAGGATACTATTCAGCGACAAAAAGCTTCAGAGAAAGAGGGAACGGGGTTCTGGACTTGACAGGCCAAGCAAAAACTCCCACGGGCCCCTGCTTTTCGCGTGGTTCCCGTTCAGCTCTAAAATTGGCTGTGGTGATAGAGGGCCTGCTTTACGGACTCCAGCGGCCTCTTACGCTTTCTTTATTGCTGATTACCCAACCTCCAGGGTGAGATACGGGCCCGATAACACGCACTAAGCATGTCCTGGAAGCCGAATTTTACTGGTGTGTGTAGCGCTTGCTGAAGTGTGAAATTGAGTTAATGGTGTAAATTGAGAAACCAAATTAGCTACAATTGAGATAACTGCGTCGTGACTTCAAAAAGAAAATTGAATATCCTTTTTGGATTCCTTCCCCTTGTACTTCACTCTGCCCTCTCATTTTTGTTCTGTTTCTCGGCCCCATTTCTTCCCCCTTTGTACTCAACAACGTCGTTGTAATGAACTCTTACGTCAGTTCTCTACTTCACGTGAAGCTGACGCAGTGACTGGACGCGCTATAAACTTCGTCATTCGCTGATGACGTTCACTTGTCTACGACTCAAAAACACATTTTATGACATCTTCTTAACAGCGGATTATATGCAAATATATGAATCGATTACTAGTATTACCTATGGATGCCCTATAAGTTCTTACTGTCTGAAATGCCCCGTCCAACAACTACACATACTGCCAAACTGGTTCCCGTGATCGATCGCCAAATGGTGTTCTAACGACTACGAGAACTTTCTGCGGAAGTGGTAAAGGACGATTATGGGGTGGCCCTCCGACTAGGCCATGATCGACTTAACTGCGCTTACGACGACCTGAAGGGGCTGCGTACGTTCGCTCACGGACTTAAAGTGGAGGGGAACGCCAAGCGGGCAAAAAATCCACGAAAAAATTTTTCAACAGTTAAAAGAAATGACCCCTGATATGATGACGATAACGTAGCAGAAGTCCGTGCCCGTTTATAGATCGCGAATTATGCGACTTGGCAATTACGCTGAAAGGAATGCATGCGTATCGATCTGCAACGCGGCGATTATGCAATTTGGCAATTAAGCCGAAAGGACGAGGTAGGCATCGAATGAAATGACTTGGCCTAATTAACGGTCGTCGATGCAATACGTAGACGATCCTTCAATCATTATGTACAGATAC